TTGTCGAAGTGGAAGGAGTACTGCTGTTCCCCTCCTGCCGTCGCGCCAGCTGGGCGTCTCGCGGCTGCTGGCCTCTTGAGGACGGGCTTCTCAGTCTGGTAAGTGCCGTCCGTGCCGCCCTCGCCGTAGTCATCACCGTCCTCGGTTGATTTGTCTTCTCCTTCCTCTTCTTCTTCTTCTTCAGCTTCGTCTTCCTCTTCCTCCTCGTCCTCGTCCTCGCCCTCCTCACTGCCGTCGGCGTTCTCGCCACCATCTCCTGGTGCCCCTGGAACAGGCATCGCTGCAATCACATCGTCCTCTCCTGCGGCGTCAGCTGCGTCTTGATACCACGGTAACTCTTGGACCCATGCTGGCGGACTATCTTTCGACGAGCCTTGGGCAACGTGCCGACATGCGTTTGCGATGCGATTCGTCATCGCCTCGACCCAGGAATCCTTGAACTTCATGTGCAGCGCCCACTGCTGCGCCTTTTCAGTAAAGACCTGCTTGAACGCATCCTTCAGCGTGGACTTTTTGAATAACAGACGGTTGTCCAATTTGTACAGGTCGTGCAGGAGAGGGTGCATGTTCTTGATCAGGTCCGTACGTAGTTTACTGGCTTGGACTTGTTTGCTCTCATCGTACTTGATGAAATTCTTGTGCAGCGCATGCCGCAGCAACACTCCAGCTACTTCACCTGCTGATTTTGCGGAGCGAGGGCGATCGGGCATACGTTCGGAAAGAAACAATCCTCAAACCATCTGGCAGATGATCTTTGAGCCCAAATGGCTACGGGTGGTGGCTATGCTTTATGATTTTCCGTGTGGTGATGATGACAACGATGTTTTGTGGCGGCGACGGTCACGACGAAGGCTTCGCTGTGCTAGGCCAGATGAGGCCTGTTAGCTTACCCCAAACAGTTCAGCCGTGCGACGCGCGGAGACATTTAGGCCTAGGAGTCCAGGCGTAGGATCCCGAGCTGCAATCGCTGTAGGCCACAGGGGCCCACGCAGATGAGTCCACTCATTAGAGCCCAAGCAAGAAAGGCCGAACCCGACAGACATGTCCAGTTCGCTAGAACACATTTTAATTTCTTAGTGCATCCACTGTTTGAGGAACGTCTGAATTTATATTCCCTCGAAGCCACCCGAATATCCTCTGCCATCTCGCCAATTCTAGGCACATGAGGACGCTAGCATGTAAGGCAGCACGCCGAATGAACACGAATCGAAACCACGCCGCCTTGTCGGGAAGTTTGTTCTAAATAGCTGCGCCCGACACCCGACCCCCCTGCGTGGATGGACAGCGCCGAAAGGAGGGTGGGATGGTATGGAAGGGGAGTTGGCAGAGTCTTTTTTTCGAGCTGGAACAACCGACTGGGCTCATTCGTTTTGGAATCCCCCCTCCCCCCACCCCCTCTGCTGCAGGGACACGATCGGGGTCGCCTACCACTGGGCCTCATAGAGGCCAACTGAAGACGCCAGACGTCGAAAAGAGCGGGGGGGCTGCGGAAGCTGGGGCTCGCGGCGCCTATAAGGCGATTGCTTAGTATCGAAGCTGTTTCCAATGGGAAACCATACAACACGTAAACCCCTCAAGAAAAACACCAGGCACGATGAGATGGAGACACTTGTGACGCTTTGGAATGATTAATTTAGGAGTTGTAACACGTTTTAGGAATCAACGGACGAATCCTATTTTTAGGAGGCGGTGGACCACAGGGTCCCCTAGGTATGTCCCCGTGCGTCCTACTCTTGCCCAGGGCCGCTCCCTGCCGCATCCAGCAGCTCCTCGACAGGCGGGGCCGCCTCCCTCGACTCGGGGCGGCGTTCTCCTGCCCAGCTGGCCCTCCCGGCCGCGGAGGGTGGGCTCCGCACCCCTCCCCGCCCGCGAGTGGGCCCGCCGCCGCCTCAGGCGGAGGCGCGCGCCCCTCTCCTCTCGGCGGCGAGCGAGGGGGGGACGTGAGAAGCAGAAGGCCCTCGCAGAAGGTTCGGAAGGCCCGCGGCCCTCCGAGGAGAGTTGCCCGGGCCCTCCTCGAGGACGGAGCAGGACTTCTCTCGGAAGGCGGGAGGGCTTCTGAGGAGTCCCGCCGCCTTCTGAGAAGGCCGTCTCCTCCTCGCTTCCCCCCCCCTCGCTCGCCGCCGATCCTCCTCCTGGCCGGTCTCGTCCTCGGCTGCCCCGATGCGCCCGTTTTGAAACGCAGCACGTGCCCTGTGCAGAACGTCGGTGTGCACACGTTGCGTGCCGGCTCCACGCGCGGGGCCACGTTCTGGCGAACGTGCCGCGCTGGGCGTACGCCTTCCATCTGCGTGCTGCGCTCCGTGTCAACACGCTGCGGGCTGCGTGTTGCGTATCGGGGCGGCCAGAGCGAGGAACGGGCTGCCCTGGCCCAGCTCCGCTCCCCCGACCCCGGCGCTCGGCGAGAGACAGCAGCTCGCCCCCCTCGCCGGTGCCACGCGCCCTCCGCGAGCCAAGCCGCGGGCGACATCCAGCCAGGACCGGGCTTAAGTCGGGCCTGTCCCTCCACAGGAGGAATATTCAAACATAGTCAAAAAATGGTCTGGGGACAATCTTTCGACTACTTGTGAGTATTTTTGAAAATGTGTTGACTATGTTTTATTTTTCGTCCAAAATCTCCCTGTAGGAGGACGCGCCCGACCTAAGACCAGGTGCCCGTCCTCATCCTCGGCCGCGGCTGCCCAGGGGAAGCGCCAGTGTGCCACTGCAGAGCCAGTGGCCGAGACCTTGGGGCCGCCCCCGGCCCAAGGATCACGGCCGCGTCCACGTGCTGCGCAGCCTGCCAGCCCTCGGAGTCCGCGCCGGGAGTGCTGGCGCCGCGCCCTCGGCGCCGCGCTGCTGCCGCGCGCTGCCCGCGGGCGCACCCACAGCCTTGCCCGGCCGTTGCCTGGCGGCGGCGGCTCGGCGCCATCGCGGCGCCAGCGGCCCGCGGGGGCGTGGCGCCCGCCTGCGGGCGGCGCCACTGGGGCCGTCGGTGGAGCTCCCCTGTGGGGCCACGAAACGTGTGAGAGGTGTGCCGAAGCAGAGACGAGCGGAGCGCAGCGGCAGGGATGGGAGGAGGGAGGGGGGAAGGAGGAGGGGGGGAGGAGGAGGAGGAGGAGGAGGAGGAGGAGGAGGAGGAGGAGGAGGGAGGAGGAGGAGGAGGAGGAGGAGGAGGAGGTGAGACGCGGGGCGCTGTCTCTTCAAATCGAGAATCCAACACATAATGGTCGGGAGCGAACTGGGGGCAAATCAATCCTGCAGTCGATCCCCTACTCGACAGATGGGCCACAGAGAGACAGAGGAAGAGGGAGAGGGAGCACAGGCGCCTCCCCCCGCGTCCCAGCCACTCAAAACTTTACGTCCTGCTGCGCCCGAACTCGTGGGGGAGCTCACCGGCTGGGGAGGCCAAAGGGAGGGAGGGGAGCTTCTGTGGGGGCGAAAATCAAGAGGGGTGATGGGGTGGTCCCTAACAGGGGATGTGAAAGGCGGGGGGCAGCGTGCAAGGGTCGCACGAGAAAAGAGGGGAGAGGGGGAGTCTTCCGGCATGGGATCCAAATTGGGGGAGGGGGGAGGGGGGAGTTTCGGGGGGGCTTCCAGCTGTGGAGCTACAGGGGAGGAGGGCAGCTAAGGGGGGATCCCCCCCTTTGTGCTGTCTCCCGCGGCGCGCTCTCTCAAATGTCCTGCCTGCTCCTGTCTTCGTCCTGGGCTCTCTTGGGTCCCCCCTCTGGACGTCGCCGAGAGCTTGTGGCCGCCCGGCGAGGGCCCAGGCGCAGGGAAGCTGGAGAGGCTGCTGCAGGCATGGATCCTCTCCCTCCTCCTCCTCCTCCTCCTCTCCTCCTCCTCCTCCTCCTCCTCCCTCCTCCTCCTCCTCCTCTCCTCCTCCTCCTCCTCCTCCTCCTCTCCTCCTCCTCCTTCCTCCTCCTCCTCCCCTCCTCCTCCTCCTCCTCCTCCTCCTCCTCCTCCTCCGTCTCCTCCTCCTCCTCCTCCTCCTCCTCCTCCTCCTCCTCCTCATCGCAAAACCTGAGCTTGCTAAGCGCCTCCGCGCTGTCCAGGCTGCGTACTTTTCCATGGGACGATTCTGGACCACCAAGGGCATCTTGTTCGGGGTGAAGCGCTCGATGTTGAATGGGCTCCTAGTCAACACCGCGCTCAGCGGACTAGAGATAATCGTGAAAGGCAAGTGGCCGCTCACCAGCAGCGACCTCGCCGAGCTTGAAGCCTTCATCGTGCGCAAGGGACGTGCGATACTTGGAGGCACTGCTGAATGTCAGGACGTATCAGATCATATTGTCAACGTGCCTGCACATGAGATCCTTCGGAAATTCAAAGTTGCCCCCTCTATCTTGAGTTGCGTATTCGCAGACAAAAATGGCTTCATGGAATGGTGCAGGATCGTGACAACAATCGGCAGTTCCTGGCGACTTGTTTTGGAGGTCGCGCGTGGATGGTGATTTTTTGATGAGAGCGGAGCGATACACGCTCACGCACACCCGTGGACACGCCAGCTTGAACAAGACATGCTGGCTCTACGTGCTCTTGAAGCAGGAGAAACGATGTGGGAGATGAGGAATGAATCACTTCGTCACATACTTTTCGAGGACACGAGCGACCTCGAGAAGATCGATTGCGATGAGTTGCCAACGAAGTTCCTTACGCAGCGACCCGAACCCGAGTCACAGCCTCAGAAGGAACAGGGAGGATATTATGTATGTCAGGAGAAGTTGGAGGACGGGAGGACGTGCAACACGAGGTGGCCCACTAAACATGCTCTCACCAAACGCGTCGCCAACACTATCTATCGGGGGTACCCCTGGGAAGCTCAGGATTGGGAGGATCATGACCATCACAAACAGCTGCGTATTATGGCGTCGCGTTTTTCTTGCTAAACACGTTGCCAAACAACATGCAGCAGCAAGCCTTCGACAACAGTATTGCCCAGCAAATCGTGGACGATTCGAGAACAAGATCACAACTCCGAGTGACATGACATGCCCGATCTGCTCTGAAGAGTTCGACGTATTAGAGTCCCGGCTCAAGCACGCGAGGGCATACCTCGAACCACTTCTTGAACCGAACTTCTACGTCAGAGAAGCGCGTGGGCAGTGTGTGTCTAGCGCTCGCCAACGGTTGCCCTAATCAGTGCGTGCTTGGGAGAAGCTTCTCAAGCCTGACTGGACACCACGTCTTGCCGGCCCGAGACATGGCGGCGGCAGCAGCAGCACCCACAGAGGGACCGCCAGTGGACAAGGGTTGGCTCGTCAGAGATAGGTCGAAGAGTTTCGCAGTCGCGGGCGCCAAGGAGAAGAAGCAGAGGCCAGCAGCAGAAGACGACGTAGCGATGGAGGAGGACGAAGACATGATGAGCCTCATGCGGTCCCTCATCTCATTGTCCAGCTAGAGGCCAGAGTGCTCACGCTGGAGCACGAGTCGATGAGCACAGCGACGTTGGACCGCAAACATCACATAGTAGATTGCAGCAAGTCGTACCAGGAGTTTGTGAAACAGAGGAAGGAGGACCCCAAGGCGGACGTAGGCTCTCCAGCGTCGCAAGCAGCCTGCTCCATTCTGCTCGTTTTGAAAGATGGGCCCTTCAAGGACACCTCGGCGCGACGCTTGAAGGTGAGTTTCGGCATCACCTGGCTGTCAGAGCTAATCCAGCACACAGGGCCAGATCAAGCAGCTCTGTGGATCAAAGAGGCCGCAGTTTCCCGACGTGCGACAAGCCAGGGTAGCCATAGACGAGCAGATTTATATTCAAGCTCCTCGGTCAGGTACTGGTACCAGACGGCGAGGAAGACCGACAGGCCATGCTGGCCGCCGTCCCAGACTCGAACCATCCGCTCCACGTGCTGACGCCTCTCGAGTACCCGACGATGATGACGCAGACGAAGGGCTTCGTGAATTCAGGTCGTGGCCTTGCTAGGGGAGATCGTGAGGCAAGTAGGAGGCAAAACGACAGTGAGTAAGGCCCCGAGGGGCGACCTAGCGCGCAATATCATGCTGCAGCGCAAGTAGAGAGCTGTTCTTTTGTTGTTCCCCAGCCTTCATGGGCTGCCGTGTGTTTTGTTTGTTGCTCGGCCCAGGCGAGCCATACGGCCTGAAAGGGCCCTGGCCAGCCTCCCGTGCAACGACCTCCCAGTAGGTCATCTTCCGACCTCATCGGGGTCGCACGGTGCTCGTTTACCGAGATTTGCAAAGCAGAGGGTCGATCGCAACTGGTCGATTTCCCCCAGGTTCCCGAATATTCAAGCGTGTAGATTGGAGGTTGGACGGAGTGGGAGAGAGTGAGAGCTCTTCCTCCTCCTCTTCCTCCTCCTCCTCCTCCTCCTCCTCTTCCTCCTCCTCCTCCTCCTCCTCACCCGTTGCAATTTGGGCGCAAGCTTGCCTCAGCCGTGGTCTCGAGATGCAGGCCGTTGCGGCCAGCTCGCCCCTTTTGCGCCGCTGGGCGTCACTGTTCGGCGCCGTCCTCGCGGCGGCGGCCGCGGCGTCAACCAGGTCGCCTTTGTTAGATGGTGGAGGGCCCCAGCAGGTCGACCATACGTTTTCCATAGACTCTTCCCGCTTCGCGTATCCCCACCAGCCCAGTCAGAAAAATTGCCCATGAGAGCCGATGGGGAACGGAAGGAAGAGGCACATGTAGGAAAACGAAGCGGGCAAGGGGGTGGCCTTGGAGGGCCTCTTCGGGCCATCCCTCGGGCCCGCGGGAAGAGGAGGAACAGAAAAAGGAAGACGATCAGGGCAAGGAAGAGGACGAGGAGGACGAGGAAGAGGAGGACAACGAGGACGAGGACAGAGTCCTCCAAATCGCCTCTTGGAGCCCTCTTAGGACTCGTTTGGGGGATCTTGGGATCCTCGTGGGGCTTTTTTGGGGGGTCGTTGGGCCCTCTCGGAGCCCTGTTGGGGGTCCCCTGGGAGCCCTGGAGGGCCTCTTAGGGCCATCTTGGAGGCAATCGATCAAGAGTGGTGTCGTAACATGTGGTGCTCTGGGGCAATCAAAATCGCCTCTTGGGGCGCTCTTGGGCGCTGTCAGGGCCGTCCGGGGGGCCTCTTGGGCCCTTTTTGGGCCTCTCTTGGGCCGTCTGGGGGCCATCTTGAGGCCTCAAAGAGCACCCGAAGCGAAAAGGCGAGATGTAAAGCAGTATTGCATTTCTGCCGGTTTTTGACGGATTTTGGCCTCTTGGGTGGGTCCTGAGGAGGCTCGGGGAGCACTTGGAACCGTCTTGTGGCCCTCGTCGAGCCTCTTGGAGGCATGTCGGAAGCTATCTTGAACCATCGCCCGCTATCTCATCTTGGAGCATCGGAGGCCGTCTTAGAGCGTCTTAGAGCCATCTTGGGCCACTTTGGGCGCCCTGACACTTCGCCCCCCCCCCCCCAAAAAAAAAACAATAAACAAGAAGCTCAGGGAGAGTACCCCTCCCCGAAGTAAAGAGGGCTTTGGAAGAGGCAATTCAGATATCGCTGGACCACCTTGGCCCAAAAGGCTGGTGGAATTTCAGGCCGTTGGGCCTCGGGCGTGGAGGCGTTGACCCTCAGCTCGTCCGAGCAGGTCATCAGCCGTGACCGTCGTCTTCGTTCACCCCTGGACACCATCGGCAGCGTCAAGGCCAAGCACCAGGGCCAGCTTGACAAGCTCCCGTGCTGATGATCACGGACGTCACCAACGGCTGTTACTTGGACGCCCGCATTTCCGTCCCCGAGGAAGGCATCACGATGGCGGGCAAGATTGGCAGCGCCAAGGCCAAACTTCACGGCAAGGGCATGCAGCTTGGAGTGCAGTCGCTCGAATTTCAAGTAGTGCGACGGCAACTATAGTCAACACCGCTGTAGTACATCTTCGAGCAGCTGTTGCTCCACTTCGCCGCCTCGTGCAGTGCGGCGGTGCAGCATGCAGCACAAAACTTGAAGCGCATCGTCTCTCAGCTGCAGGTGGGCAGGTCTCGGAGCTCTCCTCCGCCGCGTGGGCTCAGCAGCTTAGCGTCGACATGTCCATTGGATGGGACAGACTCGAGGGGCAGCATTCCTCCCTCCCCCCTCGCAGTCGCGCTGGAAAGTGCATATGTGCGGGTCCTCCCCCTCCTCCTCCTCCTCCTCCTCCTCCTCTTCCTCCTCCTCCTCCTCCTCCTCTTCCTCTGCAGCTTCTCATAGCTTCTCCACCTCCTCCTCCCCATCCTCTTCCTCCAGCCTCTCCGCCGACGCGGAGAAGCTGGAGTTGCCGCCGCAGGCGTGGCTCTTCAGCTCCTTTGACGCGAGCGCCTCCGACGATGCCCTCGAGGCTCGCCGGCGGAAGCCCCCGTGGTCGTGGGAAGACCCGACGGCGGGTGCCAGCCCACCGGGACCTCCTGATCATCCTCCCTCCACCGCCCCCCCTCCTCTCCTCCTCTCCTCCACTCCTCCTCCTCTCCTCCACTCCTCCTCTCCTCCTTCTCCTCCTCCTCCTCCTCCTCCTCCTCCTCCTCCTCCTCTTCGCAGGGGGGCCTCTGGGGCCACGGCCGCCGACCCGAGCTCCCCGGGCGCTTTTTGCCCCCGCTGCTGCTCCGCCCTGGCCCCCCCCCTCCCGAGAGGCCGCGGCGCTGTGCCTGGGGGCGGCGATGTGCTCGCACTCCTGCAGCCCCAACTGCATCTTGATGGGCCTGTTCTCCACCACCACCACCATAAGTTGGAGGGGGGAAGGAGGTGGAGGATGAGGAGGAGGAGGAGAAGAAGAAGAAGAAGAAGAGGAGGAGGACCCCCTCCCCCTCCTACTTATGGTGGCGGTGGTGGAAAACAAGCCCACCACATCTGGCACCTGGCGGACGGCGGCGGCCGTCTGACGCTGCGGTCCCGGTGCCGCATCGAGGCGGGCGAGGAGGTCACCATCTCGTACCTGAGCACCGCGGAGCTGTACCTGCCGGTCCTGGAGCGCCGGCGTGCGCTCCTCCTCGCGAAGAAGTTTCAGTGTGCGTGCCCGCGGTGCGCGGACGACCTGGACGACACCCGCGCCTTCGAGTGCCATCGCTGCGGTGGGGAGGCGTTCGCCTCCGTCACGGCCACATTCCACGTCCCTGCGGAGAGATCGGGTTTGGGATTCCCGCTCCTCCTCGTTTCTACGCTGGCCAGACTCTGAGCGACGGAGCTCGTAGCGTTCTGTGCGTCAATGGAGGCGTTCGCGATCAAAGGACGGATAACGATCGGAACGCAACGCGCGATCGACCTGGGTCGATGTACCGTGTTGGCCAAGTGTGTGCTAAAAACTCATCGCCGTGTTCCTTCTCCTTTCCGTCTTCGTCCTCCTGCCGTCTCGGTGGGCGAAGGCAGGAAGGTGAAGGACGGATGGGACCTGGCAGGCTTGCCTATCCACCTTTGGTTTCTCCTCTCCTCCTCGAGCGTGTTTCTCTATTGCTTGGGGCATAATGGGCATTACAGCCCCCGGCCCCCCTCCCCCCTCCTATGAGGTAACGCCACTCCCCCCCCAGCGCGCTCTGGGCACTGCCGCCGTGCGCACGGCGGGGGGGAGGCGTTGCATTATACCCCCCCCTGGCCCCTCGCCCCCCTCCCCAAAAATGCCCATTATCGCCGAAGATAAAGAAGCGCGCTCCAGAGTCAGAGGTTGGGTTGTGAAAGTGGGCCAGGGGAGCCTAAGACAGCGGCGGGCGCGACGGGGGCTCCACGTGGCGCGAGGGGGCCCGCGAGCGCCCAGAAGCTGCCCCAAGAAGGCTCCGTGGGCTTCGCGGGCAAGCGGCAAAGGCCACGCAGATGTCGCAGCAGAGGGGGGCGCCGCGGAAGAATTGCGGATCTCGAGGTCGGCTTCTCGGGAGGCAGGCCCGCGGGGAGGGGGCCTGTGGGGGAGCAGGCGAGCATTCGGCCAGAGCGTGTCGTGGGCAAGAGGCTGCGATCGATGGCGAGGTCGGGGACACGAGATGGACGGTGATATTGATGGGGACATCGATGGTGAGAACGACTGGGGACCCGGGAACCAAAAGCTGGAGCCGCGGGAAGCTCGCAGCCCACCGAACTCGGCCCAGAACCAGCAACCGGGATCCCGGGAGGGACCCAGAACCATGGAGCCCAGGAACCCGGCCGCACACCGGAATCGGCCGGGAACTTTCGCCACATCTGTCAACATCCGCTAGGACCCCTTCAGTGCAAGCTTTGATTGGGGAATTCTTGGTGAAGAATTCATGATGTTTGACCTCTGGGGAACTTCCTGGAGCTGTATTTAAAGATTTGAAGGCTATCTTGAAGCCTTCTGGGAATGTATGGAGTACCACCCAGGGATCCAGACTCGAATGACCTCTTGGAGCTCATTTGGGGTCCCTCGGGCAGCTCCTAAGGCACTCTTGGGGGCGGCCCCCCAGGAGCCGCCCCGCGCGCGGGAACTAAAGACATCAAAACCTGTTACCAGAGACCGTTGTGCCAGCGAATTGCCCCTCTCTGTCGCGTGAGCCTCAAGAGGGGCTGGATACAGTGGAGACCCATGCCAAGAAACGCCCTGCTTGCCTCCAGGGTGCCCTGGATTTCTTGGGTTTCGATGGTCTTGCAGTGGAAAGCGTGACGCTCCCACACCAAAAATCGAGGGACTCCCTGGGGCCTCAGGGTTGGGTTTCTTGTGGAAGGCTTCTCGTGGATTGGCCTCCAGCTGTACATGTTGTTGGATGTGGCACGCCATGGCGACAGCAGGACATCCCCGCGCGGCCGCCTCCCACTCGGGCCCTCGTTTGTCGACGGGCACGCTGGCCCCGCGCACGTGCACCCGGCGCGTGGCTTTTGGCACGCCCCGCATGTGGATCCCGCCGCGCGTGGCTCCCGCTCCCCGTGGGGCCCCCCCGTGGTGGCCGAGAGCGCCCCGGGACGGCCGCCCTCGGCCTCCCGGGGAGGGCCGCGGCGACTCCCGAAGCCGGGCGCCCGTCGCCGCCGAGGGAGCGAGCGGCTGCCTGGCGGGCGCGGTGGTCGAGCTGTGCGACGCCGGCGGAGGCGCCGCCGCGGTCACCTGCGTGGACTGCGGGCCCCTCGGGCCGACCGAGGCCGCCACCACCCACCAACACCCGCCCCTGTGCCCGCCATTTCCAGCGGGGCGGGGGGGGGAGGGTCGGCGGACGTGGGAGAAACACGCACGAGGCCCGTGCGGCCCCCCATGAGGAGGAGGAGGAGGAGGAGGAGGAGGGGAGGAGGAGGAGGAGGAGGAGGGGAGAGGAGGAGGAGGAGGAGGAGGAGGCCCCCCCCCCCCAGTGCACGAAACTCGGGTCTTCGGGTTTGGGTCGGGGTGGTCTGGTGGGTAGTCAGGCCGCGGCGCTGCTGGCCGCGGAGGCCGAGGCCGCGCGCGCCGTGCCCTTCGGGGAGGCGCGCCGGCTGCTGGACGGGCGCCCCGGCGGCCGCGCGGCAGCGGGCGCTGCGGGCGGGGGCCTGGGCGCCGCGGCGCCGCGCCTCCTCTCGGCGGCTCACACTTGGCATCGCTCGGGCGTGGGCATGCGTGCTCGGCGAGAAGGCCATCGAGGAGCATCTTGGGTCATCATCTCCTCCTTCTCCTCCTCCGCCTCCTCTTTCTCCTCCTCCTCCTCCTCCTCCTCCTCCGCCTCCTCTTTCTCCTCCTTCTCCTCCTCCTCCTCCTTCTCCTCCTCCTCCTCCTCCTCCTCCTCCTCAAGGTCACGCCCTGCGGCGCGGAAGCACCGAGGGACACGGCAACGCCACCGCACTTGACGGAAGGCAGCCCGGAACTTCCGGGGCCCCGAAGGGTTCGAGGCTGGACGATCGGCGCTTGGATCATCTTGCGAAAACAGAAGCAAATAGGGGAACGAAGAATGACAGAAACATTACAATTCGGAGGTCCGCCAGCGGATTTCTCGGAACGGCGCTGGACCCCCTTCCCTGGCGCGCGGAGCGCGCCAGGGGCCCCAGCGCCGATCCGAGAAATCCGCGCGGACCTCCGAGTTCTTATTTTTATGCCATGTTTCGTTCCCCTAGCAGAGAAGCTCACGAAACCGAAGCATGCACCGGGAATGGACATCAGAGCGATGGCAAGCACAGGTGTCGCCCCCCCCCCCCCTTCCCTGGCGGTGCCTCTGGCGCTGGGCCCCTCTGGCAGCGCTTTCGGCGCCGCCCCTGGCGCCGAAAGCGCGCCAGGGAGGGGGGCCCAGCGCAGAGCCAAGAAATCCGCGCGGACCGTCGAAATCTCATGTGGGGCGTTCCGAAAAAGCCTTGCCTTCGAGGATCGAAGAAGTTGTCATCTCTTCCGCCGCGGAAGGCGGCGGAAGGTCGGCGGAAGAAAAACGAGGCCGCCTCCGCCGGCGGAAGCTGGCGGAAGCTCGGCGGAAGGCGGTGGAAGTGAAAGATGCGCTTTCAAGAGATGAAAAGGTTTTTGGGATCAGGGTTTCTGAAATCGCCCATGTGTATGCCGTTCTCCCTTCCTCTAAGGTGGGGGCCTTGAGGGATGGGGCGCCACAACTCCCATCTCCTCTCGTCTGCTTGTTTTTGTTTGTCTGCCGTCTTCGGCCTCTGGGGGCCTTCATCGGGGCTGTCAAGCATCGGCCTGGGACGAAGAACCCGTCCCGTGGAAGGGGCCCAGGCCTCTGGGGTTCGACGCTGTGAAGAGCGTCACGGAGTCGGGGTTTGGCGAGGAAGAGCGGCCCCGAGCCGAAGGCTCGGCCTGGAGCCCCTCTTGTATCCGTGATGGGGCCCCAGCCCTCGGGGCCCCATGTTTCGGCTACGCGTAGGAGTGACCCTTAGCCGGAATGACCTGTGGTGCGCGGCCTGGGAGGGGCGACACCGACGACGACGACGACGAGGACGACGACGAGGACGAGGACGAGGACGAGGACGAGGACGACGACGGCGACGAGGACGACGGCGACGACGACGGCGACGACGAGGACGACGACGAGGACGACGACGAGGACGACGACGGCGACGACGACGACGACGGCGACGACGACGACGACGGCGACGACGACGGCGACGACGAGGACGACGACGACGACGACGACGACGACGACGGCGACGACGGCGACGATGGCGACGACGAGGACGACGACGAGGACGACGATGACGACGACGGCGACGACGACGACGACGACGACGGCGACGACGGCGGCGGCCTCTGGGGCCAGACCGAGGCACGCGAGCCGCCATCGCCGCAGCACGCGCGCGCGACGGTCGGAGGGCCGCGCACCAGAGGGGCTCCGCCTCGTGCAGTGGGCGGCCACGCCTTGCGTGCAGCCAGACTTTGGGAAATCGGGTTGTGGCTTCCCGCCATGCTTATGTGTTGAGGAGGAGGAGGAGGAGGAGGAGGAGGAGGAGGAGGAGGAGGAGGAGGAGGGGGAGGGGGAGGAGGAGGGGGAGGGGGAGGGGGAGGGGGAGGGGGAGGTTTCCGCGGCGGGTGGGAACTCCTCCAGCTCTGAGTGGCCTTTTCTTTCTCCCCCCCCTCCGCAGCCGCCCCCTATTTGCCCTCTTCCCGCTCCCGTGCGCGCCGGCCAATTCGCTTCTCGGTGCCCCCGTTGAGCTCTATCGCTGCTGCATCCACCTCTGCTTCGGCGCTGGCGAAAACATGTTTTCCGTGGCGCCGGACCTCGGAGAGGGACGATTTGCCCCGAACTGTTGGGGTCCAGCTCGGGCCCCTCTTGCATCCTGACGTGGGCGTCACCCCAACATACCGACTATGTGTGCGTCGCGCCCCTTTCCAGAGGCGACGTGCGCGCCGAGAAATCCTACAGCGTAAGCTCCGTGGCTGGCGCTTTCTGGCCATACCGCTCGGGAAACGATGTAGTACAACATGTTCATATCGTATGCTCGATTTGGACGGGGGCCTCCGAGGAGGTCGCCTAGTACTGGCATGCCGGCCCTTCTGCGTCCCACCGCTCTTGTACCCTGGCAGGGCCCCCCACCTCCCACCTCTCGGTGAGCCCCATCTTTGAGCCGCCGATCCTTCGACCACGCCGTGTCGACCCGCGGCGACCCCGCCGCGGGCGTTCAACATTGGACGGCGCCGGCGACCCAGAATCGGTCGATGTGGAACGATCTGACGTTTCGGAGACGGCCGATCGTTCAGGGCTGCACGATCCCCGCGGTGTCAGACACCACCGTCGAAGTCGACTCGACACGAACCTGCATTATCCTGACGGGGCCCCACCGGAG